GGGCACTGCAGAAGATTAGCCAATAGAGGGCATCAGAGAGAAATTGCAGCCCTTTTCCTCCTGCAGTTTCCCTCTAGTGTCCTCCTCTATTGGCAAATCTTACTATTGTGCCAGCTGGCAACTGAAAAATAATTGAAGGGCTCAGATTCATTTTCACACAGCAGGTAAATTTAGAGCTAAAAATGAATAAATTAAAAACTGACATACTGGTACCCATTGTTGACATTTTGCTCCTAATTCCTCTAAAGCCTCCATGGCTATATGCCTTGAGCCCAAGGGACTAAATAAAACAACTTAGACAACTGTTTTACATCTACATAAAAAATCTTAAGTTCTCACCCCACAATGCAGGAATCTTCACTGCCCCACACCCCCAACCTAGCCACAGCTCAGCTAGTTGTCCGTTTTCTTTTATGATCTAAAATAATGATACCACTTCTGGTATTGATTTTTATATCACTCAAGTTTAAATTACAGAACTCAACTTGAAGTAGGTAAGGGGGTAAATGAATATTTTTGTTGTTGTTCATCCTTACCCAAGAATATATATATTTTTTAATCCTCACCTGAGGAATAAGGGTATTTTTTCCCATTGATGTTAGAGAGAGAGTGGAAGGGAGGGAGAGAGAGAGAAACATCGATGTGACAGAGACACATCGATGTGCCCTTGACGGGGAATCAAACCCTAGACCCTTTGGTGCACAGGCTGACGTTCCAACAGCTGAGCCACTGGGGGTAAATGAATTTTAAGGATGCAGAGCTATTGCATAGAACCCACATTAGTCAAGTTACTTTTGGTGCAAGTGATAGAAATACAAGTTAAAATGGCTTAAGCAATAAATAGATTTCTCCAGCTCACATCATTTCAGCGGGAAAGCTGGGATAATGCATGTCTGACCCCAGAGACTTAAAATGTATCATGAGAATTTAGTTTCTCACTTTCTCTTGGCTCTGCTTTGCTCGGGTTGACTTTAGTCTCTGGCAGACTCTTCTCCCCTGGTGGTCCCCAAATACTAAATTATTTGAGCTCAAGATATTCAGTGTGAAAAACAACAGCACCAACAGCACTGCCTTCTCTTTCTAGGGATTTCTTCAAAACTCCTTTAGTTAAGTGGTACTAACACAGATTAGGGATTCAAATAATTATAACCACTGCCTTTGCGGGGTGAGGAAGCAAACAAAGCTGTGTGCTTTAAACTTCATCAGAAGTCTTCGGAGAGACCGGTGGGCAGAAAAAATAGCAACATGGAGGAGAGTTGTTCAGTCTCTATATTTAAATACTTTATTTTTGAAACGTTAAGGGTTTGCCAGTGAGATAATACTTCTTTCTTAAATTTCACCAACAATTATAATTTCCCAAACTAAGTGGCATAGAAATATATATACATCATAGTATTTGGTTTACCCATATCCCAATTTTGTGTGTTTATTTATTGTGGTAAAAAATATAAAGTTTACCATTTTAATTATTTTTAAGAGTATAGTACAGTAATGTTAACTATGAACCTTGTTATGCAACATGTCTCTAGAACTTTGTCGTCTTGCAGAACTGAAACTCTACGTCTGTTGAACAACTAACTCCCCCTTGGCCCCTCCCACTGGCCCCTGGCAACCACCATTCTATTTTCTGTTCTTAAGAGTTTGACTATAAATTTTTTTTTAGTTAGAAAATTATTGTTTTTCTCTTTAAGGTAATTTTAAAATCAGAATGCCTCAAGGGTGAAATCCTGTAGAACACACCCTTGAAATACTGTCAAAGAACAGTACAGTTTTTACATGTAAGACTTTGACCCACTTGCATACATTAATTATTACGAATGTATCAAAAGGACAAAGTGAAATACACTTAGAGGTATATCAAAATACAATGGAAATAAGAACTAAACATTTTCTTTATTTTCTGTTTACCGGGGTTAGCTAAGTTTATTTGGCTACCCAGGTTAATTATGTAGAAAATTACACTATATAATCTGGAGCAAATTAAACTCAGCAACTATAATATATAATGTACAGTTGTCTTTCAGAATTAGCACCATACCTCTAATATTATTGAATGAAGGCAAGTTAATACTACTTTTCTTAAAAGAATTATACCACTGGACTGAATCTTTACTTTAGAACTCTAAGAAGTTGTCTGGTAGTTTGGTCCATTTGACAGGTATGTCTCTAAAGAGAGAGATGCATCTGGTTAGAAGGCTTTATTCATTAAGAATGTCTCATCTATGCTTTTCAAACTACAATTTATTCACTACTTTATTCATCAGGTCTTTATTGAGTGCCTACAGGTGCATAGCACTGTGCTAAGTTCTGGAGAAACAATCAGACATAGTGCTGCTCTCTTTATTATAATTTTGCTCTTCATATAGACTTTGCTAGTGAGAAAAGAATGTGCAGAGGAGCTGACATGAGTAGTCTGATCCATTTGTCATACATTCATTTTTCTGTTCAACAAACATGCTATTATGGACTGAATGTTTGTGTCCCTCGGTATTTGGAGATAGGGCCTGTGTTACCTGTGTAACCAACCACTTCTCCAACCTGTTGTGTTAAGGGGTGTTTGGGGAAGCACACGGTGACATACAAATGCCATGAGATCAAAGTAATCTGTAATTCTGAGGTTAGAGAAACAGCTGCCTGGGGAATAGCCAGGACCCACAGTGTACCTTAGTTAAGTGCTGTGATTTGAGGGTTGTTTATAACTGCAGCATGACCTAATCTATCTTGACCAATCTCTCTGTGTGGTTCACCTCCACTGAGCCTCTTATATGGCTACTTTGATGCAATGATTAGCCTTAACACCCATGTGTGGTTTTCTCCGAAACCTGCAGGTTTAAAATACCAGATGATTTTCCAATAAGATAAAAGCTTAAATATTTCTTAGCCTCAAGGATCTCAGATATAGGTGTCCCTCTGTAATATTTTGCCTTATTTACTTCAATAAGATAGCCTAGATGACAACAGTTAAGTCTTCCCAATTCATTCTGGGTTCCCTCTATCTTTCAGGATGTCACTCATCATAGTTCCTGTCAATAACACTGGTGTTCTGGCCTGTACTTCTTGTGAAAAATCTAAAACGCTTTCATATGGTTGAGTGTATACTAAATTGAGGTATGCATGACAGTTTCAGCCATCTAAAACTTAGTACATATTTAGCAGAGAGTAAGATACAGAGTTCGTCTACATTTTACCTTTTAAATTTCAATGAAGCCCCTTGGAAGCAGAACCAATAACTCCATGGTGACCAGCATTACTGTGGCCTAAATCAGGGTTACTAAATCCTGAATCCTAGCACTGTTGACATTTGGGGGTGGGTAATTCTTTGTTGTGAGGGGGCTGTCATGTGCATTTTAGAATGTTGAAGAGTGTCCCTGGCCCCCACCCACATCCCTGGCCAATAGCAACTCCAGTTATGACTATAAAAAACGTCTCTAGACATTGCTAAACATCACGAGAGGCCTACATGAAGGTATATTTTTGTGATAGATCTTGCTGAGTGACAATTTTAAAAGCTTATTAGGTTTGTGTAAAAAATTATAGAGATCAATTTTTAAGAACATACACAACAAATATTTTAATGAAAGCAATGGTCCTGCCATCCTTTATTTCTCACAATACATATTTACAGAAGAACAAAAAGAACTGTACATTTTAAATTTTTATTATAGGGTGTGTGTTTTTTTTGCAGTTGCATAAGAAAAGAATGAATCTCTTAATGACTTTTTAAAATAACTTCAATGCCTAAAGGTACAAATTATATAATAAACATTCAACTGGAGTAAGCTCACTTCAAAATGAAAGACACTTAGCACCCAGTAAAAGTAATGGAGCAATGCCATTAAAGCCAGATCTGGCCTGGAACTATCTATACCATAGATTCACAGATGCACAGTCCAACTTCCAACCTACGTTTTAAAAACTTGAGAGAAAGAATACATGAAAGGAAAAATCTCCATAGGTTTGTGTAGGGTTAGAATTTAGCCTTTGAAGATTAACATGTGAGTCAGATTTCCCTTACAAGGCCTTGAAAAGTTGCATCTTGAGATTGCTATAAACAAAGTGAAATTTTTTGTTAGTAGTCAACAGCTTCAAATATTGATTTTCATTTTTTTAAACAATGAATTATAAGTTGTTTTTTTACAAAAAGTTAAAGGCACAGTGAAAGAATGAATATTTGCACTTGACCATTTTAGAACTCAAAATAATTCAAAAGGCAAAATAATTCAGGCGGCCAGCACCTAATTTTTCCTGGAGGTGGCAAAATTATCCTAAGAGGAACCCAGGGACAGGATGCAGCATTGCTGCATTGAGGTCAACAGTGGTGACTTAAAGCTTTACTTAAAATATGGTATATAAAGTTTTGAAATTTTTTCAAGTTTTACAGATTTAAAGATGCCTTTTGTATTGCTCTAAATTAACAAAGATTTGTTTTCTGGATACTTAGTACTAATGCTCAGAAATATATTCTATTTTTCAGGGACTAGATTTTCAGTCTGATGATTACCTCTGAAAAATTCCTCTCCTTTTGCACTTGTCCAACAGGTTTTGCTTTATTGGATGATCCAACCAAATTGGAAGAGAGGCTGTGAAACCAAAAATCTGTTGATACTTGTTCACAGCTGTGAAGTCAATATCTAAAGAGAAGGAAATAGTCTTCTAAACTTCATCGGCTTTACGTTGTTCTAATTCTCTTGTAGTGGATGGCAGAATCGTAAGCAAGACTTTTAAGAAGTAATGGATAGTTTATTATAGATATTTTGGACACCATGATTACAACATTTATGTATAAGAGACCAAAAAGTTTATAAAGGATTAAAATATAAAAGTGCAGCCAAATAACATTTTAACTAGTTTTCCTTGCTTGCTTTCAAGATGGAAACATTATTCTATGTCCTGGATTCATCGTTAAAGAGCCAGATATGGAAAAACAGAGCTACCATATAAGGACTGGTGGCAAGCACTGAACATAGTTACTTAAAGAACTAAGAGTAAATGGGGGAGGGAGGGAGAGAGTATAGTATGTTATACCATACCAAAATGTTCTGAAAATGTTCATCTAGTACTTTAAGAAATAGGGGGGAAATGGGGAGAGAAAATTTAAAAAATGTTTAATTGTTTTCATTAAATATTGGTGGTGGCTGTATCAGTACTATTATTCTGAGACTGTTGCATGTGTAAGGTAGATAAAGGAAATGAGTATCTGTGGGATATTCTAATTCTATCGTAGCCTGTCTTGGGAAACCAGGATTCTCAGTACAGAAAAATGGAGATACAGTTGAAATAAAAAGGATCAGGTAAAACCCTGTAGTACTCAATTTGATTTGGAAGTATCAAACTCATGAAGTGTTTTATCTTTAAACGACAGATATTTCCTAGTTCTCCCTCAGAAACAATGGCAAATCTAGTTGCAATGAGTATAACAGCCCCAGTTATAGTTTTGAAATACCATTTTTCACTGAAAATGAGCAGGCTTCTCAGTGAAATGGCTGATGGCAGGTCTGGGGCAGGAAACACACAAGTTGAGCCTGGAATATTTTGTCATATGAGACAGCAAGGAAACTTAAAGATTGCTAGTGTTGAAAGGACCCGGACAACTTGATGAGGCACCCAGTAGCCCAAGATGGGACAATTTGAGTTTAATAAGGTAATATTTTAAATGGACTAAATGAAATCATCCATGAGTTAGTTCATAACACTTTAAAAAGTGATCACTAGAGGATGATAGGAAACAAGTTTATCATCTTGAAAACTGGTAAATAAAAGGAAGAATACAAATATTTGTTTTCCCTTTTCTACACGAGCATTGCCACTGGTGAGCCAAATTATAGATGTGAGAAAACATCTCTGTACAAAAATGTCCCAAGTAATAAACAAAAAAGAAATGACAGAATTAGAATATCCCCCAACCCACAATAAATCAATACATCTAGGCACTGAGTATCAATTTTAGCTGATGTCACAAAAAGACAGGGCCAGACAGTATGTGCCCTCTGATGAAAGAACACATCACCCTATAGTCTTGCCAAAAGTCGCTCAAACCTCTGGATCCATGTGTCAATGTCCAGAGGACAGAGGAACATGCTGCATTGCGCCATAAGCCTGCAATCAGTAAAATACAGATTGTGGGCAACTCTGTAAGTCATAAGACCAGGTTCTTCAAGACCATGTAAATTTTAAGAAAGAAGGAGGAGCATGTACATTAAAAAGGGATGTACAAGATATATTTTATAACAATTTTAAATGGGTAAGATAAAAGAACAGTGTGTAGAGATATAGACTTGGGTAATAAAATACTAAAGAAATGCAAGGAAGTGATTACTATGGAAATCAATGTAGTGGTTACTTTTGTGGTGTTGAGGAGGAGGGTTGTGAACCGTGACAAGACACACAGGACATCTAGGGTGGCTGGCAGAGTTCTAAAAGAGTGTTTCCCTATAATAATGTAATGAACTATACATTTCTGTTTGGTTTTCAGTATTTATCTTTTGTAATTTTTCTAAAGGGTAAAATAAAAATAACATTAAAGCCCTTTGGGTTTTCCACTAAAAATTAGGGACATGAACACTTCTACTGTAAATATCAACTGATGGTTCTTAAGAAATTGCCTACATTATAGAAATATTTCTAAATAATAAGCTACAAATATTTGAAAAATATAATATTAAATTCTTATGTGTGCAGTTATAAAAAGTAAAAGAATTAAGGATACATTCCTAAAATGAAATTAATTTTGTTATGTTATACAATTTGGTTAAATGGACTTCATTGACTCCCCAAATTTTCCTTTCCTACCATACAAGGTTATTCATGTTATTCTATTAGTGATTAGAACATGAGCATTGAAACAGATTTCATATTTCCTTTGATGTCCACAGTTTGTTTCACGTCCCACCTTTTTACACAGAACAAAGTTTAGTTATCTTGCCAAACCATGATGGTGTTTATTAACATGTAGCATTACACACAGTGTCATCCAATTTGCAAATAAAGATCCTTCACCACAAATCCCAGCCTTATGTTCTCTTTCATGTATTAATGGCTAATGGAGACTATTTTTTGTTGTTGAGCATCTAAGAAATTCAGGATGTAAAAGAGATTTTACATTCCATCAAACCATCAAAATGAAAGCAGTTTTAAAATGCAATATAACAACAAACATGGACAAACACATAACTGTGTTGTACATTTTTGCCCACCAAACACTGACAATTTCCCTCCAACTGTTCAAGCAGCATCTTAACAAATGGTGCAACTGTATGGTCTCCTTCCTTTTCCTTTTAATAACATTATGTGGTGCTCGAATGATTCACGTATTCCAGAAGTGACCGGTCTAATACCCTTCGGATAAGAGCTTCCTCAATTATATTAAAATCCTACAATTAAGAAAAATAATTAGAAACATACAATCAGAGACAATTTTCACAAACTGAAAGAAGAGGGTCATTGTAATGCCTCATTTTTGCAGGAAACTGAAGCCCTGAGTTCAGTGACCTACGCAAACTTCCACAAAAAACTGTCAGAAAACCTAGGACTTGGCTTTGGGGCCAGTGCATTTTCTACTTCATTTTACTGCCTACGAATTAACCAGTTATTGTGATAGTAAAATAGTCTTGATTTCGAATTTAAAGTTTTTAATCTAATGAATAGTTTTTATACTGTCAGAGAGCTAGGTTCCACATAACATGTAATATGGAGTAAATTTAAGACATTTCCATAGGATTCACCAATCCCAGCAGTACTACTGAATACCTATCTGAAAACTGTTGAAAACAAGACTCTCTTACTCTTTGCCTTCCTGTAGTCAAAATGGCATTCAAAACTTTAAATCAGCACATTCTGTAAATAAAATAAAAACTATTAAGAGTTCTATCCTTTGCAACCCATCTCCTGTTCCTCAAAAAACAAAACAAAAGAAAAAAACATAAAATCTGTTGAAAGTTCATTCTGAAACATAAAACCATAAAGACAAATAAATAAAATCTAAAGGAAAGCCATAAAGAGTAGAAGAACATAAGATCTGGGACTCAATACTGGTTGTTTCTTAGGCAATTTATTAACCTTTGAGCTTCAGATATTTCATATCTAAGTGAGGATAATAATACAGTACTCCCTTGACAGTAGTTGTTACAGGAATAAAATGAGATAAGTGCCTAGCATAGTACTTGGTAGCTAAGGAAACAAAAAATCAAAACAAAGAACACTGTTTCAACCTCACTTCCATATCTAAGAGCATGGTTTTGAGTGGGTAGAAAGCATTCTCATCAAAGTGGCTTCATTCTGACCAGCCCTGGATTCATACTTTGAAAGATCCTGAGAAGAATGGACTGAATGTGAATAGTTAGAACAGGTAATGGAATCAACTTGGCTTTTAGAACATCTTATGCAGAGAAAGAAAACAATGAGGAAGCCCTCCCTAAGGGCTGTGGAAAATGAGAACACGTAGACCACAACAAGGCTCTGTTGAGGCCTTGTGTACTTTAGGGGCCAGAAGATATTATTTGAGAGATGGGGCAGAGGCTATGAAGCCTCTGTGGTATAGCTTGTTCAGTTTTTCAAGTGGTCCTTATATTCCCACTTATTCTCTCCCCATCTCCAACTTGCCTAACATCCAGGCCACAAAGTGCAAATCACCTACATGCATTATCTCATTTAATCCTCTCAAAAGCTTTTGGGAGTAGGTGCTTTTACTCCCTTCATTTAACAAATCAACAAACAGGTGCTCAAAGGTTAATAGTCTGAGCAAGGCCACAGAGTTGTGACAGAGCTGTTATTTAACTCGGGTCAGAACCTAAATTCCTTGTGTTGAACCGGGACAATCATAGGGTGCAGATCAGATATCAAGGAGAGAATTTTCAAATGACAATCTTTAACAATTATTAAATTCTATCTTGAAATAGCATGAAAAAGTCATGTCATGTGCAAATTCAAATTTATCCATTAACATTTCATGTATTTAGATAAAAGTTAATAAAATATTATATTTCAGAGCATGGCTGTGAGTGATTTCCCCACATAATAGGCAGAAAGGGACCCATGACAACACATTACCCTCACATTACCCTCACATGGCAACGCACGGACCAAAGGACACAAAGGCTATGTTAACTTTTTGCTTGTTTTTCTCATTTCTGATCATAGGAAATAGTCATAAGTATTAGGACTATTCATACAATACCTAACTTTTCTTGCATTTTTAAAAAAGTCTTAATATAATGGGATTGACCGTGAATTGGCAGTTATTGATGGGTAGGTGATGAGAATATGAAGGCTCTTTATACTATTCTGTTTATTTTGTGTACGTTAAATATTTTTCATAATACATTTTTGAAGTTTAAAAAAGTCCAATAAATGAGTTGTGTGCTTTATAAAATTTAAATTAAAAATAATGCCTGTGTGTTTTACTATACTGATAATGTTATACCTGTTAACAGCTATTTGATGTACTATAAAAACAACTGGATGCAGAACAAGCTGAGTCATTTCATTACTGATGTGATTTCACTTCAGCTATATAAGTTTTCAAGTTCATAAAAATTATAACAATTTATAGGGAAGGAAAAGAGTAAAAACTAAAATAATTTGAAGGTGAAATCTGGCTCCTTATACGATGGCTAATTATATAGATCACAACGAAAATAATTTCGCCTAAGGTAGATAACTACTTTAATATTAACAGCCAAATTTATAAAACACTGTATTTTTATGATTTCTTACTTAATGCTATTACTTGACACTTCAGCTATATACATTCTTTCCTCTATAATTTTATTCAGTTGGATTAAAAAAGTAAGTTTAACACAGACAGCATAAAGACAATATAAAAGTAAAAAAGTATACTTACTAAGAAATCCTCATAGAGCAGAGTGTGATTGACCTGCAAATGTCTTATTAAACTGCCATTGAAGCTGTTTGGATTCTCATTAGGTATTAAACGGCAAAGTGGGCAGAACTGGAAACATACAAGACCAAGAGTTCAAGAAAGAATTTGAAATAGTCATTAACGTCAGAATTAAAACATTAAATAACCTACTCCTCAGCCATAAGAAAAGATGAAATACTGCCATTTAGGACAACATGGATGGACCTTGAGAATGTTATGCTAGGCAAAATGAGTCAGTCAGAAAAAGCTGAGTACCATAGGATTTCACTCATATGTGGGATATACAACTGAAACTCACAGACGCAGACAACGGCATGGCAGTTACCAGCGGGAAGGGGGCGGGGGGTATGGAAGGGGTAAGGGGGCCAAATATATGGTGACAGAAGGTGATCTGACTTTGGGTGGTGGGCACACAATGCAACATACAGATCATGTATCAGAGAAATCTATACTCGAAACCTATATAATCGTATTAACCAATGTCACCCCTAATAAATTTAATTAAAAAGTTAAATAACCATTCAATAAAGTGAATTTTAACTTGTTGAATCTGTTGGCCATGCCTCAGTATTATGGTGGGTTTTTTTTTAAGAGATTAATTTTTATTGATTTCCGAAAGAGGAAGGGAGAGGGAGAGAGCGGGATAGAAACATCAATGAGAGAGATTTATTGATCGGCTGCCTCCTGCACGCCCCCTGCTGGGGACCGAGCCCGCAACCCGGGCATGTGCCCTGACTGGAAATCAAACCTCGATCTCCTGGATCATAGGTAGATGTTTTAAAGTTTCATAAACATTAAAGCAACATTAAACAAATAAAATTGCATTATTCTTATAAGCATTTCTTGTATATAATCGTATAGCTATTATTTTCATAGTTATCAACTGATTAAACAGTATTACAGTTAGTAGATGCATTGTAATGTACTTAATTAGTTGCTTACCTCTTGAAGTATTTTTTTGTATGTGGATATGTTATTATTACAAATGATATTATCTAGTGTTTATCTTTTGGGGGGATTATGTTTTTAGGATAAATGACCAGAAATGGAGATTCATAGTCCAAAGTTATGAACATTTAGGGTTCATAATATCTATTGCTCTAAAATTTTTTTATTACCACCAGCAATATAGATTATAACACACCAGAATCAGTTATTAATATTTACATGTATTTTCCTAATTGAATAGCCATTAATAGCTCTTCAAAAAAACCTTTCCGCCCAGCCGGGCGTGGCTCAGCGGTTGAGCGTCGACCTGGGATCCAGGCAATCAGGGTTCATTTCCAGGTCACGGCACATGCCTGGGTTGGGGGCTCGATCGGTGACTCTCTCATCATTGATGTTTCTAGCTCTCTCTCTCCCTCTCCTTTCCTCTCTCTGAAGTCAATAAAGATATATTTAAAAAACAAAACAAACAAACAAAAAAACCACTTTCATATATTTTTAATGTCATAGAATTAACCATAACCTTAACATAAATTATCCTTTATAATGTATCTATAAATAGAAGGTTATCAGATGAATTTTCTAATGTATATTGAATTTAGACATTGCAGAAAATATGTAGTAACAAAAATCCTCACCACAGGTCTCCTTTCTGATCTGTGATGAGTAATACAATGATCCAGCAAGCTGTCTTCATCCAATTCCTTCTGACAAAATGGACATACACACCTGAAAATTGCATACGAATATTACTAAATACGAATATTACTAAATATGAATATTACTAAAATTGTTGGCAATTAGACAGTAGTCACTTAGCTAGAGGTAAAAAATAGAATGTAGGGAGATCTAGTTTCCAGTCCTCATCTGTTTTGATTTGGTATTTTTTCCTATCCTGACAATCATCTTGGTGCCTCAATTTTTTCTCCCAAGAGATGTAAATGTGTATCCTTATGGGGACAGAAACACCTGGAGTACCATTAACTGAGAAACTGAGGCTCAGTCCACCCACCTGTCCCTGGGTTACCTTGTCACTTTTATGTCCTTCCTTTCCTAATTTTGATTTGGGTGTTATTTGTTCTCCAACTCTATCAGCGTATATACAGGGTGGGGCAAAAGTAAGTTTACAGTTGTTCATATGGAAAATAATACAATTAATAAATAATAATACAAGAATAAACTGTATTCACATACAACTGTAAACCTACTTTTGCCACTCCCTATATAACTACAAGTGTCAACTCACATAATTAGTATCCAGTGAAGAACGAAAAATGGACCACAACCACCCTGTTAAGTCCTTACACCTAGGAGTATTTGTCCCTTTTATCTGTGCTGTCCAATATGGTAGCCATTAGCCATATGTGTCTGCTGGGCACTTGAAATATTGCTAGTCCAAGTCGAGATATGCTGAAGTGTAAAATACACACTGAATTTCAAAGCCTTAATCTAAAAAAATGAAAACTATCTCAATAACTTTTATATTGGTTACATGTTGAAATAATATTTTGGCTACATTTGGGTTAAATAAAATATATCAAAAATAGATTTCACTTGGCTACTAGAAAAATCTTAAATTACATTATGTCTTCTGCATGCTATTTCTACTGAACAGTGCTGCCTTAAATTCTTAGGGACAATATGGAAACTTGGAATTTTTTGCTCACTTGCCTACTCCCCAAGACTTATACTCTAGACAAGCTCCCTGCATAAGAAATTTAAAAATTTGAATCATGGAGTAAGTTCTTCTATAAAGCAAAGATTTCTATTTTAAATGCAAATATTCATGTATCCTTTAAGGTTGATTATTCACCAACCCTTCTCACTTTCTGTTATTTTAATTCTTTATTATTTAACTCTAACAAACACAAGAAATTAGTCTTTAAATTAGCTTTCATATGTTTTTAATTTTTCATAAAGCCTATTAAATTTGCAATCAAATACACATACTTTCTCAACCCATTTGTTATCCTTCCTATTGGTCCTTGGGGCCAATCTAACAGAATCTGTACTCTGCTTAGGGCTAAAATACTCATTTAAAATTTATAATGTCATGGCATAAAACTAATCCTATAAGACAAGTATCTTTGCAAAGCAATCTCTAGTAAAACAAAAGGATGATCATTTAGACTTCCAGGTTAAAAAGTATAAGCTACATTTTAAGTATATTTTCTTAAAATAAGCAGAACTAACATCTTCCTTCAGGAGACAGAAAGAAACTACACTCCTACTGAATATCACTATTGAATAACTGTGTTTATGAGCAGATTTAATGGCTTCAAAGTAACCACTTCTTTATTTCTTTAATAGAGAGAGACTCCAAACTTTGTAATTATTCTGGCTATCAGAGATAATAATGACCCAGATTTCTTTTTTTAAAGGAAAAAACAAGTTAGAGATCAATATCCTCCATTACACCTCTTAGCAACCTCCATACATCTTTCAGTCCCAAAAGGTATAGAATTCAGGATGCTTGTGCTTCCTTGTCAGAATATACACGGAAATGTGACTTCCTAGTTCCCAAGGAGAAACCAGCAACATTAGAGGGAATGAAACGGGGAACTGAGAAGTGGTGATGGAAAAGTAAAGATGAATAACCTCTTAATCATGATCTACTTCAGGACTCTATTAGTCAGAAAACAGTGCCTAGCATTCTATTTTTGGATCCTCCTAAATACAAATTTGTCTAAGGAAGTTTCCCTAATCTCTCCAGTATTTGGTTGGTTTCCTCCAGGAAAAGTTTTTAAAGTAGAGGGGGCAAAATTCTTTCATAATTATTGCTATTAACAAATGGTTATCGATAACAGATCTTATCGTTAAGAGCCTACACATACCTACATGCATACTTTCACAATAAAAATGTTAAATTTTCCAGCCTATTCAATTTTTTTTTTTTTGCTTTTCTATAACATAACATTTAAAAAAAAATTTTCAATTACAGTTTACATTCTATATTATTTTGTATGAATTTCAGCATTTTATAGACATATCAAATTTAGCACTAAACTATACTCTATTGAAACAAACCTTGCTGTTGTCTCCCCAAGTTCTTGTAGTGGTCCATATTTATCTATGTACTTCTGACAAGTTCTTATGTGTGCCCTCATTTCGCTGAGGCAAACCTATACAAAAGCAAATTCAAAATAAACCCACTGTTGAAAAGCGGCTCAATGAAGTCTTATGTGACCCAGCTTTATTACTTTCAATATTTCAAATAAGGTCATAGCATGGGGCCAGCTGATTTTAAAAGGATGCATTCATGAAAACAGTACAATGAAGTTAAGGCATTATCAAGAACAACACTAGTTTTAAATTTCTCTAATAACTCTGAAGACCTAAATATTGAGTTCTTGAAGTTGGTTCTTCTAGAAAGCATTTGTTTTTCACAGTGGAAAGAAGTATATTAACTAAAATTTACTTTTTTGGGATGCCATTACCTAAATTGGTGATGGAAAGAAGGAAGTAGGAAAGAAAAAGGGGAGAGAAAAAGAAAGGGGGAGAAAGGGGAAAAAAAGAAAGGGGAAAAAAAAAGGAAAACAAAGAGAGATAAGAAAAATAAATGGATGGATTTTAAAATGTCCATAGTAAGTAAAAAGAAACCCTGTGCCTCGAGGAAAGATATAAATACCATGGTTTTCTAATATATCTAGTAGTGTCACATGAATTCACAATACACAGTATACTTAATGGCCCCATTAAGAGCACACATGAAAGCCAGCTCTTGCAGTCCATTTTTATCAAGGCCAAATAAAGGGCCCTTGTTCCTTCAGATATACATTCAGAGATCCTAACCATGAGGGAACTGTTGCTAAATAACACATATTCTACTCACTGCTTCATTAGGATCTCTGATAACATCTTGTGTTAAAGGAAGCTTTTACAGCTGTGCGAGGGTGGCCGACCCATCCTGCTTCACTCTGCCCAAGCTACGCAAGTTAAACCTCAAAGCTTGCAATCTACCACGTCAAGGAAATGGTTATAACTGCTTAACAGAAGACCAAAAATAAAAGCAAACCCTTGCTTTACAAATATCTATCTAAAAGATGTAAAAACTAGGACTGATCTAGGTAGCTGTCTTGAAACAGACTGTTACACAATCTTTAACACCCAACTCTGCCCGTTAGTGCTCGTATCTCTTTACTACTTGCGTTAAAAGTTTGTCTTCCTCTTGGTGTTCCTTTGTCAACAAAGTGAAGCATTCCTCACATAAACTGGCAATTTGGGGACTCTATACTGACAAATGAACTGATAAATTCATACAGTGGCTACTCTAGTGATAAAATTATGCAAGACATTGTAGGAGATGACAGAAGAGACAAAAGCCATTGTGCTTGCTCTAAAGGTGGTTCCAATCTAATGGGGGGGGGGGGG